TTTTTTTTTTTTTTTTTTAAATGCTAGGTAACTTTTTTAACTTTTCTCATTATTCCTTCTTAAATGCGTTTTAAATTCGGTTAAATAGTTGCTACAAGTTAAGCTGGAAAAGTTTTATCACGTTAATTATAAACTGCATTAACAAAAATTTTTGTCACCTGTATCAGACTAAATAATAAACACTACCCGTTGTCTGGTCTTTTTTCTTATGCCCAAAAATAGTTACTTTCGGCCATATGTATTGCTTGAGAACTGAAAATGAAAAGCAGTCTGCGTAGAAACAATAGAAAAAAAGAGATCTGCTCAGCTTTCGTAATTACTGATGATTATTCAAGTAATACTGACTTGAATATTCTAAACTCTTCGATAATCTGTACAAACTGTGCAGCAAAAATAATTCTCTTTATATAGTGTTATTTACAGACTCTCGTCAGAATCTTTGAATACACTCTCTTTGCTGTAACAATTTTGTACTAAAAATACTAGTAATGTTTTGTTACTTTAACCTGCTAATGAAGTATTCAAACTGTATACTGTCTAAGAATTGATTTGACAATAAAGCGACTGAAAGAGACTGGTAGTACAAAAACAGTTTATTTATTCTATTGAAGAAAGACACTTGAATAATGAAGCTTTAGTTTAAAAAAGCTTCTATCACTGAGCTGACCAATGTTCTACTGCACCACTCGTTTTATGCAAAACTTTTTGTGTTTATGTAGATTATACACAGAAAGCTGTTGATTCACAGTATTAATCAATTTCTGCATTCATTGTTGTATGTTTAAAAAAATTTCTAATAAATTTCAACTATGTTCCCATCTTCACTAATTTTATCAAAAACTGTATTTTCTGTAATGATGAGTCTGTTTATACACAGTTCTCAATACATTTCTTTATTTATAAACAGGTTTGGTAAGCATCTTAAGAACAAGATCTTATCAGCCGAAGTGCAGAAGGAATAATGAATTCTGAAAGCCACTATACATCGATGCCTTCTAGAACTTTGTCAAGTTGCTCAACGGCTGCTAAACCTTCGCCTTGCCATCCATCCAAATCAAGAAACTGAAATGTAGCAAAAATTAATCGCCAAAAAAACTAAATAAATTGTGAAAAAAAAACTGCAACAATCTACGTATTTAACGACTTTGTTTATCAAAAGTCGAAAAATTTGAAATGAAAAAGTTAGCAACTTTCAAGAACAGAAAATAAAGAGCATGTTAAAAAAATTTAGTTTTTGTTTGACATTTTAAAAACTAATGTTTTCGAGAATTTTGCTTTTGGTTAACATTTTTTTTGTTGACTATTTTTTCTGTGAAATAACTTAGCTATACTTTGATTTGCTCTGATAAGTCATCAGGGTCTGTTTGACAAGCGCAGTCTGCATAAATCCGACCACCTTCGTCAGAAGCAATATAATTTAAAGGCTTCATTTCCAATCGCTCTGAAGTCCTAAAAAGCGGCGAAAGAAGTGTTGGCGCTTTTTGAGGACCAAAGCAGTTACAAACAATTAGTCGCGCGTATTTATGTCAAATATGTGACAAGTCACATTCTAGAAAAACACATCACGCACAAGTGCAGTAATATTTGTTGATGCTAAAGTAATGAAAAAGAGCTATTTTTATTGGAAGTGATAATGCAGTATCGTGCTGTCAAACTGCTACACTTACTGTTAGCGCTACAATAAAAACTGTCTACATTAAGTCAAAAAAGTTAAAATCAGAATTCCCTCCAAACCATAAACCTGCAAAATTAAGCCTCAAAAACTTAAGATGGAAATCTTTAATTAATCAAGTAGAGAATTGTATTATCACTGACAAATGATCTACACTAAGTTGTAAGGGCATGTAATCACCTAAAAAGTCAGTTGAAGAACAATATTTTGGTTAGCAAAAAGCAAAAATTTTACTTTTCTACCAGAATGCTCTTTGGAAATAATAAGTCATGTGATTTTAAGACCAATAAATCTGCCTTTGAACGACCACAGTTTTTTAGAGTACTTAAAATTTGCCCGTAGTTTTTATATTGTTGGTAAGATAATTTTTGGAAAAAAACGTGGCACAAACAGTTGTTAGTTATTCTTTTAAAAAGTCATTAGAACTAATATAACTGTGAAAACTCTGTAAAATCCCCCAAAACACTCCCTTTCAAAGAGACAAAGCTAGCTATGAGTGCTTTAGTAAAGTCCATTTTAAAACCATAAAATAAATTACAGTTTTCACAAGTGGATTTAAAGATGTATACGTGTAAAACTCGATAATACTCATCATTTCAATAAGTTTTTAGACTTTATCCTGCAAGTTTAGCAATGAAATTAACAGTACAAGTCACATTTAATTTTAAGTTGAATTATGAGAGTTAACCTTGTTTGTTCAAAACGATCAGGATAGCTGACCATTGAGTACTGGTTCTGTAAAGGAGACGTTAATCGAGACTCATTCGGTAACGTTTGACTTAGCCCGCTGTCATAACCAGAAGAATGACCACCAGCACTGTCCACAACAGAATCAGTGTGAGTCGGAAGTGTTAAGTCTTTACTTAATTTACCTTTTTTACCTGCCAATGGAAGTAGTTTTTAAGAATGTTTATTTGCATTTTTCTTAATAAAAACCCGTTTTACAGACGAAAAGATGAGTAAAATTCAAGAAAATTTTGGCCAAAATTATAAGTGCATTTTATTGGTTGAACAGGTTGTGTGCTATTAGATCCTCTAAAAACGGAGTGTAAAACCCACTAAAGTCCAGGTAATTTTATAATGGCTAGTATCCAAAGTTTTTTTTTGTGCTGAACTGTTCAAAATTTTTGAAAGACAACAACAATTTTTATGATCATGAAAGATTTACCATTCCAGGTGTGAAAGAAAGTAGCCAATTCATTATGGTTTTTAAGTCTCGCAATAGCCTCTGGTGTTTGACCGGCAGCATTTACAAGTTTTAGATCAGCGCCGCTTTGCAGCTGAAATTCAGTCAAATTTTGTGACAGAAAAAAAACGCAAACCAGGCCTCAATTCTAAATTAAACCATAGCCTAAAAAGCAAAAAAGAAAAAAGAATACTCTTTACTAAGACTCAAATTTTTGTAATGTTCAGCGAATGTCACAGAGCTGGAAATGAACGTTCTCAGATGACAGGAAAAGTTCAAAGGGTTTGAAATCTGTGCATTTCATTAAACGAACATATTAAATACTGTTTACAGGTGTAGGAAAAAAAATACTGACCAAAAATTGGGCAGCATCAATGTGGTTATTGATAGCTGTTAAATGTAGCGCTGTATTACCGCGTAGGTCTCGCAGGGCAAGAACAGCACGCCTTCGTTTTTTTGGTACGACACTCATTAGGATTCGAAGGGAACCGACGCTACCACTAACTAAATTTGTTTTTTGCAAAACAAGCTTAACTTTACTGGAAGACTGCTTAAAAAATTGCATTTTTTTCACTGAGCAAAAGTTGAGTGTTAATTATTTTATCAAGTAATTTTTTTTTTTTTCAAGAAGCTTAACCATTTGACAAGAAAAAATAAAACTATCCTCGTTCAGTTACTTTCACGACAAACTAGTCTAGAAAAACAAAAAAATTTTTTTAGAAATAAAAAAAAAAAAGAAAATTGATTGGAATCAAAAATAACCAAGACGAAATAGGAAATGTTGTTTCATGAGAAGTAATTAAAAAGTTTTAAAGCTACTGAGAGAAAAAAGAAAGGAAAAATTTAGTTGCACGCTTTTAAATGCGGAATCTGTTAACGGAAATATTTTGAACCAGCAAGTGACTATTGTCACTTACATGCGGCACAGTGAATAGCGTTGGCGTTATCCTTTGTCGTCCAAAAAACAACATTTGGTACAGATCGCTGCACTATCCATCGTACAATATGCGTCTGACCAGCAAGGCAAGCAACATGCAATAGTGACTGACCACGATCGGATACGGCTGCTAAATCGGAACGACACTTTTCCACCAAATACCGCAAGCACAGAAGGCTACCGCTTTGAATGGCATAAACACATGCTGTACAACCTGTAACTTTAGCTTTCATCCCAGTGGTCTACATGACAAATAAGAGCAGTTCTAAACATTGATAGTTCAGTTATATATGAAAAATATGAAAAAATGACAAAGCTATTTGTCTCTAATGGCTTATACCGTCTCTCAAATCTTACTAGTTCCCTACCACGCACTATTACTAACATCTAAATGTGGGCATTCATTCGCCGTGGTCACCGCTTTAGTTAAACAAAGAAAATATCGGTGTCTTGTTGTATACGACACTATAATACTTTTGCCAAATCCTGTTACGGTTTACTGTTGATCCTAAAGCTAAAGATTAGAAAATATATAGTTTGAATTTTTTTGTGTAATTTTGTATTTTCCAATGTACAAAAATTAGGAAAAAGAACACCCAAAGTGTATCGCGCTTTAGACATAAACTTTGTAAACCTTAATATTGCAGACTACTTTTAGCAACATTTTTTAGCCATTACTAGATTTTTAATACAATGCAAATTTTGTTTGCTAATTTCAGAGACTTTGTTGATTAATACGCACTTAAGGTAATGAAAAGTGTTCCAAACTTTGTGGTCTTATCATTACTTTGGAAAAACGACATTTATTACTTTTTTTTCAGCTTTTTTTGGTTATAAAATTTTTAATGCTTTCTGAATTTTGTTGTGTTTACAAGCATTTTATTTGTTTGCTTATATTGGTACTGTTTTTGATAAAATTTTCCCAATTTTTTTTTACTGCTTACCATCTAAATTTTTTGGTGATAAAAATAAGCATCGAGAAAAAAAAAAATGAACAGAGAAAAACGGTTGTTATTTTTAGCTGCAGTTTATTTGTTACTGTTATTTCTTTCGGGAAAACTTTTTTTAGTACAGAAAAAATTATTATACAAGTTGCATGACGCATACCAATAAAATCGACAGCAATTTTTTTAAAAGGTAGTGAGGGAGAACGACGAGGGAACGGTTTGGCGACATTTGTGCAAAATAAATATACAAAGATAAACTGAGAACAGTGAGTGATCGATAAGTTTGGATGAGAAAGTCATAAAAATATGTTATGGTAAATATATTCAACAATAATAGGCAAAAAAAAAAAAACAGCCTGGAAATAAGACCAAAGATTTCACATATGTTATTGCAAAAATAATGCTGGAAAAAAAAGAGAAAGAGAAACTGAATAGACAGTATTGAACTTTTTCAAATAAAAATTGGTTTCTTTACTTTTTTTTTTTAGCAATTCGTCTTTCTTTTTTCTTCTCTTTCGTTTTTTTTTAATTATTAATTTTACAAATTTAAAATCTACTGAAGAAAAAATGTGAAAATAAAAATAAAAAGACGCTAAATAAATGAATAAATAAGAAATAACACGAAACTATTTATGAGTCACTCCAAGTTTCTTTTTTTTTTTTTGTCCTCTTTTGTCTCTGAGTCATCTTATTAGCAAAGTTAATGACTGTTATTGGCATAGTTGAAAGATCATTTTGAAGGCATCTTTAAACATACTACTGATCAGATGCAATAATCTGTTTTAAGGCCT